TGTAGACCTCTTAAACTTGTAATCCTCCACACTCAGCCTCAGCTGAGCTCGCTCTTCCTTCCTAATGAGCCATTTGGAGCGGACAGGCCTGAAAGCTGTTGCAGGCTTTACCCCTCCTGCCCTCCTGGTTCTGCAAACAGGTTTATGGCCTTGTTCAGCTTGATGGACTGGTGCAATCTCAGTTAAAGTCTCTGGCAAAGCTCCTGCTGACATCAGCGGTTGCAAATATCTGTCCCTTTTTGCATGGAGGCCGGGTGGTTCTTTCTAAAAGCTCTGCACTGGAAAAGCGCTTGGGTCAGGTCTCTGGCTTGTGCCGTGCAGGGAGTCAAAGGAGAGATCACAGCGGTTGCCTTCTGGCCTGAGACCCTTGAGTCTGTCTGCAGGATCAGGGCCTTTCTAGGTCAGTGATTCTTCAAGCAAGATGCTTTGCTGTCCCTTTTTGCATGGAGGCCGGGTGGTTCTTTCTAAAAGCTCTGCACTGGAAAAGCGCTTGGGTCAGGTCTCTGGCTTGTGCCGTGCAGGGAGTCAAAGGAGAGATCACAGCGGTTGCCTTCTGGCCTGAGACCCTTGAGTCTGTCTGCAGGATCAGGGCCTTTCTAGGTCAGTGATTCTTCAAGCAAGATGCTTTGTGGGGGTGGGATGGCAGGATTTGATAGTTGAGCAGAATGAGGGCAGATCGGTTTGCCCAGCTAGAGATCGTTAAGGAAAATTCTTGATTTTTCTGACGCTTCTCTCTTGGTGACTTTTTTGCAAGTGCAAATCCTGAGTCGCTCGCCACTCGGAGACGAGTGCCCTGTTCACAGACCTTGTTCGTGCTTGTGCTATAGTGTAAGTGTGGTTTATTGCAATTCCCATATGCTGCTGCCCCAGCTGACATTAAACAAACACTTCACTCTGGGTCTGGTGTGATTTGGTGTAATGGTGTCACCTTGGGGGGCTCAACACTGGACTGGGTGCAGGGGAACAAGGTCCCTCTCTGGGCCTGTTTCTCTTCCCACTCCCTTTCAGCTGCTCCAGGCAAGAACTGTCTCACTATGGGTACATCTAGACTACAGGCTTTTGTCGACAGAAGTTTTGTCGACAGATGCTGTTGACAAAGCTTCTGTAGACAAAGAGCGTCTAGACTATATTCAGTTCTGTTGACAAAGCAAGGTGCTTTGTCGACATGGCAGTGTAGACGCAAAGGACAGTTTAGATGCAATAACGCCTGTCGACAGAACTCTGTCGACAAAAGGCGTTATTCCTCGTAAAATGAGGTTTACCAGCGTCGACAAAACTGCTGAGTTCTGTCGATGTTATGTCGACAGAACTCAGCGGTAGTGTAGACGCAGGTTTAGTTTTGTCGACAAAAGTCCACTTTTGTCGACAAAACCCTGTAGTCTAGACACACCCTATGTGTCTATGCATTGCATACTGCAATAGGGTCGTGATCTGGCTGGTGCCTCTCGGTCCCACACAAATGACAGTGCTGAAGGCAGGATCGGTGGCGGGTGCGTAGGACTTCTCAGGATCGGGCCTTTCGCTGTTAGATGGGGGAGGGGCATTATCAAACTCCTGAGCTAGGCTTGATGGCTGAAATGTGGGTGGAGAGGCCTTTGCACTGCTTCTGCTCTTTGGGTAGTGCTCTGGAGGTTTTCAAACGATGGGTCGCGCCCCAGCACTGGGGGGTGGGATGTCGGGCGCTGGGGCTCGTGGCTGCAGGGGGATCAGGTGAGCAGCGGGGGGGCTAAGGCAGCTCCCTGCCTGTCCTGGCACCACAGACTGTGCTGCACCCCAGAAGCAGCTGACAGACAGCCCAGCTCCTAGGTTGAGGGAGAGCACACAGAGCTCCACGCACTGCCCTTGCCCTGAGCACTAGCTCCACACTCCCATTGGCGTGCACCTACTTCTGGGAGCAGCATGGTCTGTGGTGCCAGGAGAAGCAGGAAGCTGGCTTAGAGCCCCCGCTGTCCAGGAGCCACTCCAGATAATCCCCTTGTGCCCCAACCCTGACCCCCCCCCAAAGCCGGAGCCCCCTCCTACACCCCAAAGCTCCCACTCTCCAATCACGTTCTGTTGGGTCATAAGAAAAAACCTTTGAAAACCACTGGGCCAGAGCAGTGGTGAGCAACCTGCAGGCCCTGCGCGGCCCGTTGGGATCTCTGTGTGGCCTGCGAGACATTTTGTGTACTGTTATCCATGCGCAGGGTTGCCAGATTCGGCTTGTTTCCATCTGCGTGATTTTTTCCTACCGGTATCACTGAAGTGACATGCACGTAAAGCAAGGACTTGTGAAGGGAGGTGCAGGCTGATTGCGCACAACACTGGCCCTAGGAGCCGGGCACTTGGCACTTGGCACTGCTCTGGTTCAAACGGCACATATCACAACTTCTAGGCATGCAAGTGCAGTGAGCAAAACCCAGGAGACTGCAGGTTACCGCAGTCTGGCAGCCCACTGAAGGCACTGGAACCTTGTGCTGAGCAGGGGTGAATTTCGCTCAATGGGCATGGCTGTGTCATAGCTTTGATGTATGGGAGATTGGTAATGGAGCGCATTAGAAAACTGAGCATGCAACTCTCAGCTAATACACAGAACCCAGCTGGTGCAAACCAGCGTGGCTCTGCTGACTTCCATAGGGCTGGTGTGCTTTATTTGAGTCAAGGATCTGACATGTGCGTTCTTCTCACCTGCTGCTGAAATGCAGCCACTTCTAGGGAGGGAGGGCGGAGCAGCAGGCAGCTATGCCACACAACAGTTTAGGATGTTCCCATCCCCTGCGAGCCAGTAATACCATCGCGAGTTGGAAATTGACTTGGTGGATTTAAGTAGGCAGAGTGTAATTAGCCGCAGTGCAGTCGGGACAGCACACTGGGGACAGCGCTGTTATCTAACCCTTAATGGAAGCCTATTCAAAGATGTACACCTTGGGCTTAAAGATAAAGCAGCAGACAGCCGGCAGCACTCTTAAGACAGGGCTTACAAGCAATTTCTGATTACAGCTAATTGTGGGGAATGAGTGTCTGAGGTTGTCAGGGCTTTAACGTTTTCCTAAGCGGCCTCGTTATTCAGGCCATGTAGAAATCTCGTAAGCTCTGAGAAAGCTAGTTTGATGGAAAACTGCTACTGCTCCTTGGGTAGCTCTCATGCCAGCCACTTACCCAGTTCTAGTTCCTTGTACTAAAGCTCCCTGGTGTGGGAATAAAATTCTCTCCAGGGTCACATCCAGAGCCAGTACAAAGCTGAACATCTTCCTATCAGATCTTTCCCATGGCGAGGTGTTTGCCCACTAACCTCTCTCTCGAAAGGTCCCAGAATTGCAGACATTGGAAACTTCTAAGTTATGTTACGGGAGCTCCCCTGCATACAAGGCCCTGTTTACATAGGTATGAGACCATCCCAGATACGTAGAGACTAGGTAGAAATGGGAACAGAGGCAAAGTGACTTCAACAGCTCAGTGGCAGAGTGGGAATAGAACTGGGGAGTCCTGAGTCACGGTCCAGGGCTCTGGATTGTGCTGCAGGCCTTGCTCTGAACCGGTTTGGCAGGCCAGCTAGGCTGCAGTCAGATTAGTTTCCAAAACTCTTACTCAACTGCTAGGCTAGGTTCAGAGGCCTGCGCTAGGCAGGCCTCCTGCCCGCTCTGCAAAACAAACAAATCCTCCGTGGACGGGCCAGAAGAAACCCGCAGTGGAGAGGGCGTGTGCTCTGCTAAGCAGGAAGTAGGTTCTGCTGGAACCTGAGCCAGCTGGCCAAGGGCGTGTGATGCTCTGTTCAGTGTTGAGACAGGATCCTCTCCAGGAGGGAAACTCCAGGTTGCTGCTGGCCCAACCCTATAACACCTTTTCCCTGGACAGATCTGGCCTTTGCCAGGCTAGATACACCACAGCACACGCTGGCATAAGTTACGTCTGGGGCACACCTAAGCCACACGCGAGGGAAGTTACGCTCACCGCCACGCCAGTGTGGACAGCGCTGTGTCGGCAGGAGAGCGCCAGGGGCTGGCCTGATTAAGTCAAGGGAAAAGCTCCCTCCCATCGCCTTAGAGAGTGTCCGCATGACCAGCGCGACCGCAGTGCAGCTGCATTGGTCCCTGCCCCTGGCCCACCGAGTCTGAGCCATGCTCTGCCCTGCCTGCCCAGGGGCGAGGTCACTCCCCATCCCTGAGAGGGGCAGGGGCTGCTGGAAGTGGTGGGGAGCCTTGCTGTAGGAGCCAGGCCAGGCACTGCTCTGCAGCCCTGAGGTGGGAGCCACATAGCCAGTATGGCTTTCTGTAGAGGTGCCTTGGAGTTCCCTGCCCATCTAAGTACTGACCCGGGTGTTGGCTGGGAGAGGGGCCTTTGTATTTGAGAAACGCTGGCTCTCCTGTGGCTGTTCTGTCTTTCCTCTCCACCCTGCCCCCTCCTGAGGGCTCCTGAAGCAAACTCCATCCCAGCTGCATGGCTGGGCTCCCGGGCATGCGCAACGGGGCCTGCAAGGGATGGGCGTGTCACGAGGGCCACCCAGAGGAACAGGGAGGGGCCTGAGAGAGCTCCCAACTTAGCCATCAACAGTTTGGCGTGAGTACAGTGCACCCCTGGGTGCTACCACCAGTCACCTCTGCTCCCCGGGAACATAGCAGCAGTTACGATGCTGCAGGGGCAGTGGGGCTAGGACTCGGGCCCTCTTGTGCCAAAGGGCAGGCCTTTGCCTCTGGAGAATAGGTAGCAAGGCTCTGGAGTGGCTCTGCAGCTGGGCAGCTTGTGGGCAAGTCATTTCCCCCCCCTCTATGTGCCTCAGTTTCCCCGTCGGTGACATGGGGGCGGTGGTCCTGCCCCCCGCGAGAAGGGGCTCTGAAGATGGCCTGAGGGAAGGTGCCAGAGAAAGCCTGGCTGCTGGTGGTATTGGAAGTGAAGGGCCCTGAGCTGCCTTCGGTTCCTCAGAGCGGGAGGTGAGCTACAAAGCGGGAGGGCTCCGGTGCCTGACGCCGGCGCCGGGAGGGTCCCTGTGTCTCTCATGCCGGTGGTGTCTCCCCGCTCCTCAGGGCTACACGTCCTTCTGGAACGACTGCATCTCCTCGGGCCTGCGCGGCGGCATCCTCATCGAGCTGGCGCTGCGAGGGCGCATCCAACTGGAGCCGCTCACCATGAGGAAGAAGAGGCTGCTGGACAGAAAGGTACGTGGCCCCGGGCTTGGGTGCTGGGGCTGTCGAGCCGGCCAGGAGAACGTGTTTGCCTAGGGGAGAGCCCACCCGCTCCTTTTTGGATCCCAGGGGCCTGGTTCCCCTCTGGCCTGTAGCCCCATGTGACGTGGCTGCGGCACACTGCCATCCCGACACGAGTGCGCTGAGCCCATGTAAATGATGGCACAGGGTGATGGAGAGTCACACCCATTCGCACCGGCTCTGATCAGCTCCCAAGGGGTAAATCTGTGTCGCTCCATGGAAACCAATGGAGCGACTCCAGATTTACAGCAGCGGGCGAGCCATGGGGGTCAGGCCCCGCGGCTGGTCTGAGGGCGTGGAGAAAGAACGTGAAAGAGAGGCCGAGACGGGGAGGCTACTAGGCAGGCAGTGGAGGTCAGACGTGGGGCGTGGTAGCTGTTGGTGTGAAAGAAGGATAGAGAGGCACCTCTCCTTCCCCTCCATCCGGACCGACGCTTTGCATGGACAATAGCAGCTTATGTCCGGACGGATGCGTCAGTCTTGCGGGAAGCCTGCAGCCTTCACTGCCGTAACACCTGAGCACTCTGTTATTAATGCATTTATCCTCACTCACCCCTGGGAGGCAGGGCAGGGCAGTCATCCCCATTGCGGAGATGGGGAAACTGAGGCACGCCGAGGTCAAACGACCAGCCCTAGGAATTTGTGGCTGAGCAGGGAATTGTACTAGCTTCAGAGAGCTGGGTTCTCTAACCACCAGGCTGTCCTTCCTCCCAGAGCGTGGGCCTGATCCTTCACTCCCACGGTTGTACCTCCAGAAGTCTGGCATAACTCGGACGGCTCCTGGCTTTGAGCCCTTGCCTGCATTCGGACTCGGTTTAACTGAATCCATCCAAGAACATTCCAGAGCCGGGAATAGAAGCCAAGTGTCCTGACACCCAGCCCTGTGCTCCGGCCCCTGGACAGCGCCTCGTCCCTTCAGTGGGACTGAGGGACTTGTGGTGCCACGTGGGTGGTGGCATTGTAGCCTCTGTGGCTGGGGCCCAGCATGGGGCAGGCAGCACGTGCTTAGGGTGACAATATTTCCCTGTGCCGGTGATGGGACAGCTGGTCGGAGGGCTCGGATTTAAGCAACTGCAGCGGCAGCCAGTCAGACCTGCGCAGTAACACTGAAAATTGCAGGAAGTTGCCTGAGCCCCCTCTAAAGGCAGTATTCTGCAGTGATGCTGGCTCAGGATACTGGCTCGGCCATTGCTAAGAACAAGTGTAAAGAGTTGCGGGGCGGCTGCCCATTTTACAGACGATTCTTGGAGCTGTTTGGCTGGGACGCTCTAGTGCCTCCATGCTCTGCAGCAGGGGCTTGCAACTTGGCGAGGGGGGACGGGGATGTGCCCTGGCATCCGGGTCCGGCGGCGCCAGGGATCAGGGAAACAATGGAAAATGCAAACTTCCAGTTAAGTGGGTAAGGGGCTGGAGCGATCCCCTACTCCAGGGCCAGTCCTGGCTGCTCTCCCAGCTCAGCTGGGCAGACAGGCGCCTCCCAGTGTGTGCAGCCAGGCGACAGGGTGTCTAGGGGAGTCCAAGAGGGTGGCAGGAAAGATGTGTGTGTTGGGGGACTAGAGAGTGGAGGGTTGTGGGCAGTTGGGGGGCACACTGGGCAGTGTGCTGTGGCTCTGGCAGAGCTGTGGGGAGCTCTGGCCATAGGGAGATGGGGGGATGTTGAGTCAGGGAGCTGTGGGGCATGGCTTGGCCCTGCCCTCGAGAGTTATGGGCTTGCTGGCTGACCCTGCCATGCCCCTAGCTGGCAGCTTGCTCTGGGGTCCGACCTCCCTGCACCATGCTCCATTGCCCCCGAGGACTCAGAAATGTTTGGCTCCGGGCCCGTAGACAGTGCATCCGGCTTGGACCTGCCCACGGTGTCTGGAGCATTCTCCTCTGCAGGGAGCATTGGCCCTGCCACTCCCCGCTTGAGCCCCAGCACTCAGGGCTTGTGGGGGGTGAGAGGGAGCACAGATCCGAAGGGGGGGGGGAAGTGTGCTAGGGATTCGGCGGGCACCGCGAATCGGGGCTCCAGGCTGGGAGAGTGTTGCTGGGAATTCAGCCATGCGAGGGAAGAGTGCCGGGATCGGGCCTTCAGCTCCATGGAGGGGGGATGGGAATTGGGCCTTCAGCTCCGTGGGCGGGGATGGGGTGGGGGAGTGCTAGGGATCGGGCCTTCAGCTCTGTGGGGATGAGGGAGTGCTAGGGATCAGGCCTTAAGCCCCACGGCAGGGCTGCGGCTGTGCTGACTGCAGACTGACCCGGCCAGCAAGGGGAGTGGAAAATAGGGGACAGTTTGTCTGTTGTTGAAATAAAGGAAGGGACTGTCCCATTAAACAGGGTGCAGGCTCCCCTTCCACGTGCTGCAGAGTGTTCCGCGTGCCCTGTCCTCTCCCAGAGCTTGGTCACAACTGCTTCCTGGGTCTTGCCTGTTAAAACCAGCTGCCAAGCTCCCCGCCCAAGCAGGATCAAGCCACGTCGGGATGGGCCAGGGGCGGGGGCCAGTCCAGGATCCAGCCTCAAGCTGCGTCTTTCTTTGTCCTTGCAGGTGCTCTTGAAGTCAGACACTCCGACCGGTGATGTCCTGCTAGATGAGACCCTCAAGCACATCAAAGCCACGGACCCTGCGGAGACTGTCCAGTCGTGGATTGAGCTGCTCACAGGTAGGGCAGTCTGGCCTCGCACCGGGCCTCCTCCGCGCCTTGGGGGCCTGCTCTGCCATAAGCCATATTGTGTGGCCCCCGGGCGCCTTCCTGCTTGGTCACCGAAGGCGCTTTTGTTAGCTTGCCCTGACTGAGGGGTGAGGGGTGCTCCACCCCAGCCAGGACCCCGCCTACCACCGGTTAAACAGAACATGTAACTGGTTGAACAGGATTTTCCACCCCCAGTGTGGACACAGCTGGGAGTGAGCTGTCCAGCCCAGACAGACCGACTTGCACTAGCAGGACTCCGGCGTGTTAAAAATCCAGGTGTGAGTGGCCTGGCGTGGGCAGACGTGGTCTCCAGACCCATAGGCTGGGTGGGGCAGGGTGGCCCTCTGCCAGATGCCAGGTACTCGTGTCATTGCCTAACGGGCCCCAGGACCACGGATTCCAGATTTCCAAGGGGAGTCTGGATAATGCATGAGGGAACCATGAGAATTTTCAGTTCTGTAGCTTATATGAGACATCTAGGCTGGGCTCACTGCCCCACACCACTCTGCTTCTAGTCCAGACCAATTGAATCCCCCTGTGCCGGTGCGTGATTCTTTCCCTGGGGCAACCGGGCAGCTTCTGGGGTCAGGATTGAGGGGCATTGGCTGATCCAAACCCAGGGCCAGAATAAAAGGGGCAGAGCGGATCACATTGAGCAGCGTTCCCTGGCTGGGCGCTTGTGGGGCTGCTCAGGAGAGATTCCCGTGCTGCCCAGAGGATTAGCAGAGCACCCACAGCTAGGTTTGTGTTTTTCCTGGTGGCGCACATGCACGTGCCTTGGTGCACATACAAAATTATTCTGCGCACGGATGTAAAAAAGCCACACGTGGGTGGAAAAGGTTAGAGGGAACATTGGCCATGAGTGAGGTGTCTGGAGCTGCCAGAGCAGGGGGTCCTGTGGGTCAATATTGAGGTGCACCAGCTCAGCTTTGGGGAGCCCGGGACTGGAATAGCAAAGGGGCTCACTTCTGGATCCAATAGCCTGGGGGTACTGGGCAGGAGCGTGAGTGGTGCTGCAGCCCAGAATGGGGGTACGTGGGTGTGGACTAGCATGGGGAGAGGGAGATGGGGTGCAGTAGTGGAGCTTTGCTTGGGATGCGGCAGGGTGGAGGGAGGTTGCCTGGCTGTTGCCTTGATATTTTTTGCCCCTAAGGAGCAACCCTCGTCTTCCTCCCCCGCAGGCGAGACCTGGAACCCCTTCAAGCTGCAGTACCAGCTGCGCAACGTGCGGGAGCGCCTGGCCAAGAACCTGGTGGAGAAGGGCATCCTGACCACGGAGAAGCAGAACTTCCTGCTCTTTGACATGACCACCCACCCGGTCACCAACCTCACCGAGAAGCAGCGCCTGCTCAAGAAGCTGCAGGAGAGCGTCCTGGACAGGTGGGTGAACGACCCCCACCGCATGGACAGGAGGACCTTAGCCCTGCTGGTGCTGGCCCACTCCTCGGACGTGCTGGAGAACGTTTTCACCACGCTGGCGGACGACAAGTACGACATGGCCATGAACCGGTCGAAGGACCTCTTGGACTTGGACCCCGATGTGGAGGCCACCAAAGCCAGCGCCACGGAGATGATCTGGGCTGTCCTGGCAGCCTTTAACAAGTCCTAACTCCAGGCCGCTTTGCCCTTTTGGTGTAGGATGGGACCTTTGGATGGGGAGCTTCCCTGGGCCAGGCCAGCGCGAACTCTGTTCTACACGGCATGTGGGTTGGACTGATTTCCACACATCCCCTCCAACCTACCCGTCTTGGCTGGGGGTGGTTGTGCTGGAAGGATGAACGACTGTACGCACGTGTCTTCTTCTCACAGGCGTGTGGCCAAATGAAGGTCTTTGTCTTGGGAGTGGATTGGCTCCAGGCTCAGCTGGCTCTCTCCTTCAGAGAACGGAGATGTAGAATTGCCATCGGGCCCTCTTTACTCTCCATCGATTTCGAAGGAGGGTAGCTTGGGTTGATGGGGCCTGCTCCGTTCCGGCACTTGGGGCTCAGATGGAGGGGGAGGGTTTAAGCCACCTGTGCACTGCCAGCACTCCGAGGCTTGTCTGGCTCTTGTGTAAGTGAGAGCAGCCCAGAGGCTGCTCTACTTTATGCTCTGCTTCCCGTGGCCACCAGCAGGCTCCAAGCAGCAGAGAACCGCTGCCGTGCAGGGTACTCTGGACATGCTCCTGGTCTCCAGCCTAGGGGACAGGGCTATTGCAGAGTCCTGATGCCATCTCCGCTCTAGTCGGGGAGGAGGGGATGTTCCCCATTGCCAGGCCTACTTGTGCTGCCGGAGCAGGGCGACAAGGCTTGGACCCACTGTGCATCAGGTGGACAGCGTCATCAAGAGCCAAGTCAGACCTGGTCTGGCAGTCACACCACGGTGCAGTCCCGCTGACTGCCGGTGCGCGCAGGAGTCAGAGATCCGTGTTGTGGCCTCTCGTGCCAGGCGGACGTGGCTGTCCCTTTACCTAGCGTGCTAGCTTCACGACCTTTCTCGTTCACTTGCTGCTGGGGCAGTTCGGGCCCGATTCATGGCCACAAGACTCGGGGTGAAACTCGGTACAGTCACCCCTCAGGAGTTGGGCAGCCGGTTACCAACCCGACGTGGCCTTTCAAGCCGTGTTCGAAATGACAGAAATGTCTGTGCACAGAGACTGACCTCCTCTGTCCTGCGTCGTGCCTGGGCCTTCTGGAGTAGGAGAGAGGCCACGGTGCTTCTGTGTTTGGCATGGGTGCGACGGCTGCTGGCACGTGGGGCCGGAGGCACACGGTTCAAGGCGGAAGTTGAATTCGAAAGGGCTCAGAGAAGAGTCTTGAGAACGATTAAAGGGCTAGAAAACCTGCCTCATGTGACAGACTCCAGAGCAGGGCCGCCCTTGGGCACACGCAGCCGCGCAGGGCACCAGTGCGCGCCCTGCGCTGTGTGTGCCTAGGGCCACCGCTGGCCGCGAGCAGCACCGACTGGCAGCACCAGTACCCTGCTCAGCCTCCCAGCCCTGTTGGACCCAATACCCCCAGGCCTCCACCCCCTGCTCCAATTAGACCCAATCCCCTGGTCTCCCCAGCCCAGTCCTTCACACACCCCTGCCCCCCCACTCCGTGCTTCCCCTGCCAGCCCACAGCTCCAGCCGGCTGCTCCCCGACCAGCTCTCTACCCTCCCCCCAGCACAGCCCCTCCCATGGAGTGGCTGCCCCCCACCCCTGCAGAGGATGGAGGCTGCAGGTGCTTGGGCTGTGTAGAGCACCAAAAGTCTTCAGGACGGCCCTGCTCCAGAGCTCAGTCGGCTTGGCTTAGCAAAGTGGAGGGGAAGGAGCGACTTGATTATACTTCCTAAGCATGTCCGTGGGGAATGGGTCTCTAACCATGGGCTCCCCACTCTAGCAGGGGGCTTGGACACAGTCCAGTGGCTGGAAGCTGAAGCCACGCCGTTACGACTGGCAGAGGCGCGATTTGTTTGAGTGATGGGTCCCCGGGTCAGTTTCCCCCAGCTCGCAGTGGGTCCGCCACCCATTTTGGGTCAAAGCTGGATGTTTTCCCAAGGGATCTGCTCTAGGAATGGCTTTGGGGCCACTCTCCAGCCCACGTTGCACAGGAGGTCAAACGACATGAACCCGGTGGTTGGCGTTAGAATCTATGGCTATAGGGGAGCGTCAAACTCTCTGCCCCAACCAGGTAGGGGAGCCACGAGGCTGTATCCAGTATCGGCAACGTGCTTTGCTATTGTGATACCTCGCCCCTGCGTGGATTGGCAGCAGCCAGACTGGAAGCTGGGACCGCTGTGCCAGAATTCGGCGCTGAAATAGCTTGAGGCATAAGGACCCCAGCATTGTAGCAGGCTTATTGACCATCTATGGTTGGAGGGGGAGAAAAACACTACGCGTAGAACAGCTGAATGTTATGGTCCTAGAAGGGGCTCATCGTGTCCCTGAGAGTGTGTCTACGCAGCAGGGCTTAACTCGAAACAAGCTACGCAAATTGAGCGGCGTCAATTGCATTGCTGATTTTGAAATAGCTTGTTTCGAAATTGGGAGCATCTACGCTGCACTTATTTCGAAATAGAGTGCTCTTCCCCCGACATCCCTTACTCCTCGTACAGTGAGGGTTACAGGAGGCGGAGTAAGAAGTCCTCCAGCTTGACAGTATGTCAACATTATTTCGAAATAACGGCCTGCTGGGTAGATGTGGACTAACTTATTTTGAAATAACACTAGTTATTCTGAAATAGTGTTGCTGTGTAGACGTACCCTGATTGACCACAGCTCACTTTATAGAGAGGCTAGACCCAGGTCTGTGTTCCCACCCCACAGACTCGGTCCTGCGGAGTTCACGCATGAGCCACGGGTACATGGTTTTGTTTGTCCTCTGACACAGCCACCTGAACTCTGCTGTGAGTTTTACTCCCCGGTTTTTCCAGTGTAGCAACACATCTGAGAACCTGGGTGACTTCTGTTTGGATTTTAAGGCACCCCAAGGAATCTGACCCCTTCGGGTCACTGCTAGCCAATAGGGGAATGTGCCACTGCGAGGATTTGGGATGGGATCCCTTGTGGCTGTCTGGGGATGGGTGAGGAGCCTGCATACGTTGTATTCAAGTGATTCTTACTTGAAAAGCTTTTGATGTGATCAGGGGAGCCGAAAACCTGCACAGGCCCCTGGGCAAGGTGTGCGGGGGGTGGGGCTCTGCGCTCCCAGAAGGGGCGGGGGGCAACCAGCCCTCTGCTCCACCGGAGCATGGCACCCCCAACCCTCAGAGCTTCATGGAGCACGCCGCATAGCCCTCCAAATTTGATTTAAAGGGCTGTGGGCTCCAGCTGCTGCCACAATAGCAGCGGCCAGGAGCCTCAGGCTCCTTTGAATGCCGGGCCCCAGAGCACCTGCCCCCTCCCTCCCTCCCTCCCCATTGGCAGCCCTGACTGGTGATGAGGCTCTGATAGCGAGTGACTGTGAGTATGGCCTAGGGAGAGGCTGCACCATTGTACAGGGAAGGATTTTATTTTAGTCCATCTCTTTCGAGCCGTTTGGCTTTGGCTGACCGCTATGTAACACCCAGTTCTGCCCGAGACGTTGGAGCAGGGTTGTCGGCCACGCGCTTATTCTCCCTGCACGGCATGAGCACTATAGCTGGTCAGGAATTTTTCGACCATGCTTTTTGGGTTGGAAAACGCCAATTTTGTCAAAATCCACATTTTTCCTACGCAGCTTGCTCTATTTCTCTGTGAGGCGAGGAGGGGATTCATAGGTCTGACCTTCTACAGAGCACGGGCCAGGGAACGTCCCCAAACAAATTCCCAGAGCAGATCTCTTAGGAAAACATACAATCAGCACTGATCCAGCGGTGAATCTGCTCGGGGGTTTGGCACAGATCCATCCACGTGGGTCCAATTGCCGGATCGGGGCTGTCGTTTCCCCCACGTGGGTCTGTTGTGCAGCAGCGAGAGAACTGTTGCAGAACAGCCACGGGAGTGTAAAACAGCCACGGTTTGCAGGGCTCTCCGGAGCGGGAAAGCTCTGAAACAACTAAGCTGTGGGGTGTCTCTTCAGCTGGGGAGGGGATGGTGAGTGCAGGGAGATACTGGAGAGCCCAGTCTGCCTTCATTCGGGTGGGTAGTAGCCAGTGCTTTATTTGTAAGAAAAAAGGTGCAGGACTCTGGGACAGATTTGTTGAGCCAAAGAAACCACAGTCGCAGCCCCTTTAAGAGCCACAGCGCGCTGGGAGCCAGAAAAAAAAATGCCGCTTGTCCCGAGCAGGCTTCCATCAGGAGCCGAGCTGCCCCAGGAAAACAGGTGCTGGTACGCGCGGGGGAAATCCCATTCCTTTTCTGCGGGCTGGGAAAATAGGTGACGGTTCGCCATTCCGGGCAGTACCGTCGCAAAAAAAGCAGCCAAGCTGCCATCAGAGCCATATGGATGGACCTTTGTGTCTCTTGAAGTCGCGGAGGTAGCGTGGTCTTGGGGGTCCAGCACCAGGCTGGAAGTCGGTTCTGCTTCCAGCCTGCTGGGTGGCCTTGAGCAAGTCCTATTTCTCATGAGCAGGGGTGAAAGGAACTTACATTTCTTACAGGTGCTGTCCTATTGCAACCCAGGTCCCTGCCAGCTCTCTAAATAGCTCCCGGCGGGCTTTTGTCACAGCTCAGCCAGCTCTTGCTGGAGCTGTGCACTGGGGCCCCGGCTTCCTTTCCCCCTGCGCACGTGTAAAATGGGGAGAATGAGACTGACCTATGTAAAGTGCTTTGGGATCGAGGGTGAAAAGGGAGTGTTCATTGTACTGTGGTAGTGCCTTGGTAGGGGCTGTACAAACAGCATGAATTGCTCTGGGCTGGAAGGTGAAATTGGCAGGGTCACCAAACTCTTATGCTGCCATTTAAAAATCCTGTCCTCGGAACCCGTGACGATCAATTAGGCAAAGACTGTCTGTTCGGTTTGTGTTTTAAGGTCTAGCCGATGCCTAAATACCCTTCCTTCTTCACCTCGGAAACACGGTAACTGCCGGGTCCTTGCCACGGAAGGTCCCCGATTCCGCTTTAGCATAAAGGAGATTTGATTTCAGTTTTGCATCCCCTCTTTGCTTTCTGGGGTGCTTCTGGGCCCCCCATCCAGAGAAGGGCTATTCTGGCTGGCCTGCGTCCTCTCTTAGCCGCGATATTGTATCATTCTGTGCGTGGTAGATTTACTCTGAAGGGGGGATAGAATTTGAATCTCTATAGGAAAAGCCAACATTCCTTTCTCCTCTTCCCCAACCCCTTCTCTGTTCCTCTTTTTATTTAGTGTCTGTGGATGAGTTTCTTTCTGCTGCACTGGGTGGCCGTGGGCTCACTCGGATGTAGATGTTAGCTGCTGTTGATTAAACTGCTCTGGGAGAATAAAAACCTTTCTGATGTTGGTGCCGTGCCCGTTGTTGGCCTTCACTCTTTCAGTGGAACGGGGCAGGCGCCCCTTCGTCCTGGTGGCAAAGGAATGGTTTTGTTTAGGGGCACGCTCTGCCATGGATTTGCTGGATCTCATCCCCGTTCCTGACACTCCTGCTGGTATGCCCAGCTAGGTTTCAAATTAGTCTTAACAGAAATGGGCCGTGGAGACTGAACTGTGGTCTATGCCCTAAAGCTGGTCTCCTCGTCTGGTTAGGCTTGCTACAAAGGGAAGGTGGAGAAGATGGTGCTGCCCGGGCTATATCTGTGTTTGATGCCAGGGATAAAGGCCAGAAGAACTGCCCGGGCTTCGTCTCACTGGCAGGAGGAAGACCAGCAATGAACCTACCAGTATTTATGATGTTTGTACTGTTGTAGTGCCTCGGAGCACCAGCCACTCACCAGCGCACTAGGTGTTCGACAGACATAGATCCAAATAATGTCCCAGCCCCTGATGCCAGGCGGGCCTGTTTCACCGGCAGTTCTACCCAGTGATTCCTGCCTGTATCACCGGCGATTCTACCCAGTGATTCCTGCCTGTTTCACCGGCAGTTCTACCCAGTGATTCCTGCCTGTATCACCGGCGATTCTACCCAGTGATTCCTGCCTGTTTCACCGGCAGTTCTACCCAGTGATTCCTGCCTGTATCACCGGCGATTCTACCCAGTGATTCCTGCCTGTTTCACCGGCAGTTCTACCCAGTGATTCCTGCCTGTATCACCGGCGATTCTACCCAGTGATTCCTGCCTGTTTCACCGGCAGTTCTACCCAGTGATTCCTGCCTGTATCACCGGCGATTCTACCCAGTGATTCCTGCCTGTTTCACCGGCAGTTCTACCCAGTGATTCCTGCCTGTATCACCGGCGATTCTACCCAGTGATTCCTGCCTGTTTCACTGGCGGTCCAACCAGATGGTTGCCGCATCTCAAAAAAGATC